GCTGGATAGTTGGTCGGGATAATATCCCAAGATATCTCGGTCTAGTTTGCAAAATATCCCACTATTTCCGAACTAGCGGGATAGTTTGCGACCGTCCTCATTAGACCAAAGTCCGGAGTCAAATATCCCGATCCCATCATGCACAACGATTTCCGGTTCGCACATGCGATCTATACCGCTCAGCGCGCTAGTACAACCACTGACCTCGAGTAAGCACGGAAAACCGCAAACTAGACTGAGATATCTTGGGATGTTATCCCGACCAACTATCCAGCTAATTTGCTACTTCGGTCTAATGAAGACGCAAATTAGCTGGATAGTTTGCGATCGGGATAGTTCAAATAGCTGGATATTTGGCAATCTCGAGATAGTGCAGACACGCCTACTTAGGCATTGTTGGCTGTATTTATAGCTATAGGCGCAAGTAGCTATAAGTAGTGCAGTGGGACTTAAAGGGACTTTGTAATATTGTTCAGATGAGAGATAGTGGTGCTAAGGTAGTGACTTCAATGCTAGATGTACAATTAAAGATAATCTGAAAATTTGAGTGAAAACGGATCATTATTCATGGTACAAATTGGGAAAAACTGATCTGATCGATTCCTTAATTCTCCCAACTATATTATTCTACTTCTATTCTGCTACTTGTCAAAGCCTGTTCAGCATCAAGACAAGGACAATTTAATTACATATTTTATACAAAAATTAAGCAATTTTTTTCATCAACCTTCAACAATGTTACCGAGTCACTTTAAAGACTTTTTTTGTACCTTCAACTGATCTGCTATTAATGAGTCTCTCAAGGGAGAGCATTCCACAGCGGAGGCCAATGCAGAGCAAAGCATCTCTAAACTTATCCCCCCACCCCCACCCCCATGCCCACTTTGTTATGAGCTTAATAGCAAGATAGTACCAGATTAACAATTCAAACTAACTAGCCAAGCATTTCAGCTTGTGAATGTGGCCAATGGTTATCTATTCTTTGAAATTGTTCCGTCTTGAACAAACTATGCATTCCATAAGGCGGGTCCATAGGGGTACCCAGAATTCTGATTTTTTGGTGGTGTCTACATGCATAGATGCACAAATGAGCTGTCAGAGTTTCAGAAGGCAATTGACAGTGCTGAAACAAGACAGCTACTAACATTTTAGATAAGTCAGAGTGTTATCGGTGATAATTTGCCTTGCATGTTTATGTGAGGTACCTACATCATGATGTCGTCAGAGAGAGATGGTCTTCTCCAAATTGTGAGTGAACAGATATTCTTTTTGCATTTCATTTCATGGAATTGCAGGCATTTTAAGGACTCAGACAGTTGAAGGAGTGTTTGTATTTCTTTATAATATTCCACCTTTATCATTACAATGTTATCTACTTTTTAAATAGGCCATTTTCATAATCTTTGATAATTAAGTGCCTCATTACAAATGATTTAATTTACCTTTCAATCATCTCTGCGCTCAGTCACTCATGATAAGCCCTGCCCAGTTATACAATTCTCTTATATAATACAGTGTATATATAACTTTCACACTACTATGAATCCTGAATCTTTATTCAGTTTGGAACGATTGCTTAAAATATATGCTACTATGTTACTATGTTACTATGTTTCTGCATATAAATTCAGTCTAAAGTCTATAGATAAACAATAGATTTTGGCAGTTTGAATTCAGGGATTGTTAAATATAGAACGTACCGGTACGTGTATTGTGCATGTACACTTTGTACAGTCAAACATGTCTACAACGACCGCCCAAGGGAAACACAAAAAGTGGTCTTTGAAGACAGATTCCCTTAGTACATGTTTCAATGAGGAACCATTTTCAAGGGAAACAAGAAATGTGGTCTATGTAGACAGGTGGCCTTTGTAGACAGGTGGTCACTAAAGCAGGTTTGACTGTGTACACTGTGTGCAGGGCTCGACACTATTAACAGGTGCCTGGGACAAATGAACGCCCCCAAAAACCTATGGCCTGGCCCCCAAGATTTTGAAGTAATCACACAGGGATCTTTCATAATTACAGACTGTAAAAAGTTCAATCCGACTCCCTTCCCCCCCCCCCCCCCCAAAGTTAGTGTGAAGCCCAGCTGCTGTGTGTTTGCCAAAAGTTGTCTGTTGGGTTTATTACCATTCGTTCTAAAACCAGTTTGTCTAGCTACTATCCAATTGCTCTTTCCCATATGGTCTACAGTCTACACCCAGACTGTCTACTATCCATATTGTCTAATAATCATTTAATGATTGTAAGACCTTATGGATGGTAGACAAAGCAAGCAAGCATTCAACAAACTGGGACCTAGACTAGATGAACAATAGACCAAACAGTTTAAGACTGATTGTTCATCAAAATAAATTGAAAACAAAAAATACAGTTTATATCTCATGTAGTAAATAGTATGCTTTGTATTGTTTCCTGTCAAATTTTGCATTGAAAGGGAAAAAAAGAAGAAAACAAAATTGATATTGAGGTAATTCATTTGTACCTTTGTAAAGTAAAGAGTTGAATGATGAAATTTGTCAAAGCGTTTTTCATAACTGTCGTATAGGAGATTTATTGAGGACTATTGAACTTCTTTATTTTGCTTTTTTTTGCTTGTTTGTCACCTTTTTTTTGGGGGGGGGGGGGGAATCATTTGACACACTTTACAGGCATCGTTTAACAATGTTAAATCTGAGATGCACGGCCCTACGTGTTATCAGTGTGTGTGATATGGTATAATATTGAAGCCCTAAAAAATTGCGCTTCAAAGTGATCAAGAAGCTAGTGCCTCAAAAAAGTAAAAACCTTTGAGTGAACGGATTTACCATACTCGTTTCCCCCAATAGACTGTAGTGTTATGAAAACGGTTTGGCAAACGGTTTTCAAAATTTGTAATTCGAATCATAAATATCTTGATAATCAGACAGGCGATCGGCCTGTAAAATTCATGGGGTTCCTGACTGACCTATAGGTTTATAATTATCATTGCAGCATGAGCTAAATCCAGGATTTTGTTTCAGAATCTGAGACAAAGTAATGCCGGATCCCTTTAATAAAAATCCTGGATCTGCGCTGCCTCCTTTTGTACAGACCCAGAAATAAGCCAATATTTATCACGGTCTAGATTCATTATTGGGAAGTACTGGTATTTGTTCAGCCACAATTGATGCAAATAACATGTGGGCAATGATTCTGTGCGCTTTGGAATGCCATATTTACAATATCTGTCAACTGTGTCATTTACATATACATGTAATTATGCTAAACTTAATGTAGCCTTGTTTCCAGGAAGAATGAGTTTTCCCCTCTTTTTTAGAAAAAACAAGTTTCGTCAATTCTTGATATTTTAGTCAGACCAGTTGTTCCCTGTAAATGTACACTGGTGTAACAGGGGATAATGGGGCTGAGAGAGAGAGAGAGAGAGAGAGCATACATGTAGTTTCAATCCTCCAGACTTTGATAGTTCTAAAGATTCATTTTGATTGGGAATAGCTGTAAATTCACTTCTCCTGGAAGTCAGGCAAGGTGCCACGCCAACCGTGAAAATCAAGTGCTCCCATGCATAAACATGATACATAGACTGTGACTGTCAACAGTTTGCTCCTAAAAACCAATATTAACTCAGCATGCATCCGTTCATGGAGATTTGTTATGTCGGGTTATTACACCGACCCTTCATTTGTTCATACATATTTGCTCTTTTAAAACAGTGTGTAATACCAAAGATAGGATTAAAGACTCTGTCGGAAGTGAAAAATTAAGTTTTCTACTTTCATTCAGCTTTCCATTGACCTGTATTTTCATCGGAAAGGGTCTTTAAATGGCAAGTCTGACCCATTTGCAAGTTGAATTTAATAAATTTAAAAAAAGGAGGAATAAATAAATGGGTGAGAGTTTCATTAAAATTGGATGAAAGATAAGAAAGATTTGTAATTTTTAACTTAAGTTATGCATAATTTCATGAAACATTGGTATGTGATATATGCAGTCAAATCTGCTTTAGTGACCACCTGTATAGAAAGACCAGCACCTGTCTACAAGGACCACATTTTATGTTTCCCTTGAAAATGGTTTCTCGTTGAAACACGTACTAAAGAAAAACTTTAACATTCCATAACTTATTATTTTTCATCTGCTTTTGAAGGATGTAACTTAAAATATTTCACTGTTTATTTGTTCAATTTTCTCTATTATTCAAATCAACTTGCAACTGGGACAGACTTGCCCTTTAAAAGTGGCATATAGTCCTAAAGTATTTCCCAAAAGAATGAATGGCTATTTGAGTGTGGAGCATTTTTACAGTTCTTCAAATGAATAAGGTAGACCCATTCAAACCAAAACCTCTACTTATTCATGGCTAGTTGTTCACTAGCAAATGATATGTTATAGTTAGGAGCTATAGTAGTCATTGAAGCCATTCCATTTGTCAAAACTCAGTGCCTCAATAAGTATGCATCTCAAATTCTCAATCTTTAACTCAAACTACTGAAGTGAAAGTCCTTGAAATGAATGTTAATTACTTTTTACTAGTTATAAGGCTTAGCAAAAATGGTATATTTTCCAATGTTCCATCCCATAACTGTTCCTGATGAACTGCACAAACAATATTGTAGAAAGGAAATTGACTACATTTTATTGAATACAATTACATATAAATGTATTATTTTGAACGATGGTCCATTTTTATTGAATCAAGTGCTTGTAAAGTTTGATCAACATCAACATCATCAAGTACCAGGTCTGTTACAGACATCGATAGTCATGGCCCTCCATTTTTGTCTATTAATATTATCTGCAATTGTTAAAAGACACCAATTTCGGTTTTCATAGTAATCTTCTTATGGTAATTAAATTTTGATAATGCTTCAATTTGTAACACATAGCCACATACATTATAACATATGTTTCACTAAATTGATTTATATACATTATTTATCTCCTTTTTTTTTCTACACAGCAAATAGAAAACTCATCAAGGGACCCCCTCCTTACACTCTCAACGTTAAGGAACAGCAATGACCATCCTGGAACATTCTTCAACGATGGCAAGAGAAAAATTGGTATGTTCCCTCAATTTTATAAAACATTATGCTTGAACATGTATGTAGAGGTATTCAGGTTTACATGGTTGCCCATGGTGGATTGCCGTTTGGCCTACAACCAGTTCATCTACTATCTATGTGGTATAATAATCATTTCTCCTACTTATCATTTAGTCTAATGAATATTTAGGCTCAATAGCCATTTGGTCTAATTTCTATTTTGTCTAATCTCAAATAAGTCTACTACCAATCCTTTCTTTTGTTCATTTAGTCTAAAAAAAAACAATAATTCTAATTCCTAGTTCGTCTCCTGCCCATTTCATGTACTATTTATCCATACATGTTCTATTAATCATTTAATATGAGTTATGATAATCGCCAAATGATTGTTAGACCTTGTTATTCACCATGCATGAGGCTTGGCCAGAGTACCTGGTAAAGTGCATAGTTAAAACATGCTCAGCTGGCCTTGCGCAGCTCAGGTGTGCATGAACAGTTAATCTAATATAGTTTTTTATAGAACCCACCCAAAGAGTCCAATATTGTAACACTCTTAAAATACACGCAATTATAAAGTGATCGCCCCTTAAATTTTCGTCAGATTTCATCCTGGTCCACGAGGAGGAGCGCCTCTCGGAGAAACAGCTCCAGAAGAAGGATAGGGACAGACAGGAGCGACGGTCCAGCAACCTCCCTCCAGCCGAGGACGACGCCAAGGAGCAGCTCCATTCCGCCTGGAGGAAGAAGTTCCTGGAGACCATCCAACGGTCCGGGATCCAGATCGAGGAGGACGTGGTGGAGTCTGAGAAGAAGATCATCACCTACCACAAGCTCCACGCTCCCTGGAAGACCCTGATGTTCTTCGCGGAGGAGCTCGGCCTGAAGGCACCCCTGACTGTAAGTGGATGTACATAATAAGGCCTAAAAAAAAATGTTGTGTGGCCCTTTGCGACCATCCCCAAATCTTGAAATCTATGGTCGGCTTTTTTTTGTTACAGTTTTTTAGAAAAAGCATGTATTAAATCATTAAAAACTAAGAAATATCAACCTAAAGAGGGAGTAAAAAATAGAAGAAAAGTTTTTCAAAAAAGGTTTCCAACAGACCGACCCATGTTTTGGCACCTAAAGGGCAATACAACATCTTTTTTTTGTAGGCCTAATGATAATCCGTTATTGTATAGCGCCTAGCAAGTTTTCACATTATGATAAAATGTCTCTATATGCTTTCCTAGGACTCGGATATTATCACCCTGGCTTTTGCTCAGTGAATTCAAGGAATAAATCCTACCAGGTACCCATTAATTACTACACCTGGGTTGGGTGTGGCAAATGTAGATTAATGTTTTGCCACAGGACATTTAGTGCTGCAGCAGGGATTTGAACGCTTGTGGTTCAGAGTCTGGAGACTTATCCAGCTATATATGTTCATAGTACACTCCAGCCCTATTTTGCAAAACTTGTTGTCTTCAACAAGTGCCAAACTTCTATTAAAGGCTGTCTGTACTAGTTTGGCTAGGGGGATTAGACCGCCCTGCAAGGTCACTGACAGGTTGTTATCTCATCAAATCAGCTCTTAATTAACATAAGTAAAAGAGGATCATGGGGGACCAACAGGCACCGATTAGTAGGCATTGTTTGCTATATAGAGGGCACAAGTAGCTAGTAGCAAAGTAGTGCAGTGGGGCTTTAACCCTATTTAGTCCGGGGGGGGGGGGGGGGCTTACATTTTTCGCGATAATTTTTTAACGCTAGAAAATCTTGCACTGAAATTTTGTGACTTTTTTCTTTCGAGTCTTGCACATCTTTTGAAAGAAATTTTTTGAAAATCGGACCTACCATTGCAAAATCACGTGTCCTTTTGTCTTTGCATGTCAGCCCGAAAATCGCTCATTTTTGTGATTTGTGTACAAAACGTATGGAAATCTCATTTTTCAAATTAAGAGATAAAACATTGGTTATTTTGGTCTTATTTGTAGTTTAGGTGTTTATTTTGGGGTCAAAATAGTTGAATTATAGTTGGAAATGAAATAAAACAATAAAAACAATAAAAACAATAAAATACATAAGTTAAAAAAACAAAGAAATACATAAGAAATTATCAAAACAATAGATAACATAAGGAATAACCCTGGTTTTTCACTTTTTTGTGTTGTATTATTATTCCAAATGGTCTAACAAATATATGTAGTGAGAAAGAATGCTTAAATATGAATAATGTCTGATTTATGGGCAAAAATGTGAATTTTATGACCTTATTTGCATAAATTACCATAAATATGCAAATGAGTGAATTTTTCAAAAAATTGAAATTACCATAGTATTCTATACACTTCACTTGACATGTATGCACATTTTCGCGGTGATCGGGCGTTTCGCGGCCGAGATCATAGGGGGGCCTTAGAAGCCTCCCCCCCCCCGGGCTATGCAGTTTCAAAATAGCCCGGGCTAAATAGGGTTAAACAAAAATTTTCTCACAGCCTGACAGGCAACCAAATGCTAGAATTTCAGTAGCTTAAGCTTGTATCATATGATTGGATCCAGAGGAAGGGCATTGACTGCTATCATTTTATACAGAGTTACATCCCGTGGGTGGGGGGGGGGGGGGGGGGGAGGGAAGGTGTTATACAGGAAAAATCTGGAAAAAAGGGTATCAAAAAGTCACTGGTGATAAGAAGATACGCTCTGATAAGATGTTTAATAGAAGACTAGCGTTTAGGAAAGCCACACCCTTTGCATGTTAAGAACCCCCTGCAATACTTATGAAAAGCAGGGATGGGGGAGGGGGTGTTTTTCCAATGGTTTAAGTGCATGGAGAGTCACTTTTGATATATTACCGATAGGTTATTGAGGATCAAGTTACCTTTTCCCTCTCAAATACATAGCAAATAAATGATATTAAGGGGAATATCCAGCCTTAATAGCAAACCAATCTAATAGAAAGCAGAAAAATCATAAAAGCACACTGGTGATACAAATTCAGTCATAAGATTTGAATTTTTGACAATTCTAATCACTATTTGGTGAATCGGTAATGTCACTCTTCTTGGTAGACAACTTTCCCATTTGTTCCAATAACCAAAACGACTAAAATGGCACCTAAATATGAACCCTACTGTTGTCAAAAGTGAAAGGTATTCTCATCCCTTCAAAACACAATCCATCCTCCAAAGTCCAAACAAATGAAGAATTTGATCCCTCTTTTTTCCTATTGAAAATAACAACGCATTTTGCAACATTTTATTTCTGACTTGGCCCCACATTCTTCAGTACTGCACATTCCATGATTATATAATCATTACAAATGGATCATCATTGTAAAGGGGAATAAACGGGCTTTCTGATGATACAGGCATCGAGTATTATAATACAGTAACAAGAGAGATAAAAAAGTGAATTGCAGAACTTTTTTTTTGAGGGGGGGGGGGGGGGGTTTACATGTGTACAACACATAAAGGATGCTTTTTACATTCAAACAAGAAACACGGCCAGGCTATACAAGAACTTAATACCTTTGAAAGGTATGAGCTGTTTATACGATGGCACGTGAACCAATATAATGCTCCATATTGTACGTGCTCTGCTATCATTGCCAAAGTCAGACTTGTCGAATGATTTAATTTCTATCTCCAAAGTCAAAGCTGCCCATAACGTGACCATGCAGGTAGAAGTAACTTTGACCAAGATATAAAGCTCTGTACATGAAGCAAGGAGACAATCAAGCAATTTATGCATGTCTCAATAACCACTTAGAATGCAAAAAGTACCCTCATATTTACTGCATCCTTAATATAATATTCACTGAAGCACTATATAGAGTGTCGTGGTTTAAAAACTCCATGTATTTTACACGGTGCAGTGATTTGATATTGATATCAGATACCCAAGGTTAGAAAATTACAAAGCTAATCATTCAACCGCCATCGAAGTTAGTTGCGGGTAAATATCAGTGGTGTATATCCTTTGCCTTAAAGGAGAAGTCTACCCTGGTATTAAATTGAGAGAAATATGTCGATTAAATTTGGATCAATATCCGATTTAAAAATAGGAAACTTGTGAATTTTGTTGACATCAGTGAAGTTGACATCAGTGAAACAAAAATTGGCAACACTGTTATGTGCCTTGCTCCTCTGCAATTTTCTCTGTTCAGAAATTTCATAAACTTTCATTTTCATCATATAATGATGGAATAGATTTTGTTTCATACAGGTGTTGCATAAAGACATTTAGGGTGAATGTATGATTGAAAATTCCTGTAATGGAAAATATAAAAATGTTAAGCTTTTTAGTCCAGGGTGAATAAGAGGAGAGGCAAGTTTTGTCACAGAGTTGCCGATTTGTATTTGATTGATCACACCTTCAAAAATTCATATTTGGTTTTTGCCCCAAATTTAACGAAGCTGTTCCTCTCATTATTCTGCTTCTAGTTCTATTAAAACCAACTTAATATCAGGATGGACTTCCCCTTTAAAGAGAAGGTTGAGTTCTGGGAAGAGGTGAAAAATAATTTGTGAGCGTTATCATTCTTATTATGCAAGTGTGGAAGAACATCAGATAAGACATGTTCCCTGAAAAGCATGGCTCTTCAAATGCCTTCATATTCTAAATATGTCATGTAACATCGTAAAACTCGGGGGTAGGATTTTTACGCAACGTGTTCGTGTAGTCCCATATACATCTTTCTGTGTACAGTGTTTGTAACTTTACCAAGACTTGGCCAAATTTCTTATCATTTTGATGATTCCAGAACCTTGCAATACACACAAATTCTTATATGCTAGATGATCAACCTTTTCTGGTTGATTCCACACCGTTTCTTTAACAATGCAATCGCATTACCAGAACTCAACTTCATCTTTAAAGACACTTTCACCAGCATATTTTACTAAAGGCTTAATTCTGTGTTTGTTTTAGCGTGTTAATAAGGCATTCAATAAGATGCAAAGTGTGTACAGATGGATTAGACCAATATTTAGCCTACATGTATGCTCTGACAGCAAGATGTAGATGAAAGTCTTGTGGCTTGAAGTTTTCATTAAGAAGAAAATTGGATGTAAATTAAAATAAGGGTGAATCATTTAACCTAGTCAGATATTCACGTGAAGAACTGTCAATTTATTAACAACTTTGAAATTAAGTTATTAATTTGCTAGTAAATAAAGTTAGGAAGAGCTGCTCTGTTACAGTTTAATGTGAAATTCAGATTCTTTCAAGTAGATTAGAATGTTTATTTCACTGAAAATAGTATGTTTAAGAAAGGAAATGAAAAAAGAAAAACTTAATTTGTTATCCAAAAATGTGTGGTGTTCTTTCTCATTTCTGTTTATTTTAAATTGATAGATTTTCTTTAAAAAGAAAACATTTCCTTAATCAGTATCAATTAACAATACAAATATCAAAGTTATTATTGGTTTATATCATAACCGATGAGATAAGGTGACTTTAATCTGTTTGATGTAAACAACTCAAGTCTGCATACCACATTTATCTGTTTGCATAACAGTCCGCTATTTGATTACTACTGTGTAAATACTGTTACTCATTGTGACCTTAAAACCACACTGAACACAATTTTGGCATTCAATTAAATGGAAATACAGGCCCATGATTATACGCAGGCTTCCTGAAAACATGTTAAAATGTTAAAGCTGTCCTTATGGTCGCCACATACATGCCTGCATATATTCATGAAGGTGATTCGAGAGAATCTCCTCGAAAAGACCATTTCTAAATGTTTAATGTTGGTTTCAGAAAACTAGCTAGACAACAGGAATGATTAAAAGCATGCCTGCTAATTAAATTTCAGGGTCGATAGTAGTCCAGATTCTGTTTGTTTTTATTTAATTTTTATTCTTCAATCACACGCATCCCACACACAGCGCGGTATCTCAACTCATCGCATGATCCCCAAAAAACAAACATCAAACATGCAGAATGATCTGACTACTGTCACCGGTTTAGCGTTGAGGGTGTGTTATTTTCTAAGCTAATTGTGTGCGGGACATGGAAACAGCCTGTCCAGGCTATGGACTAGGTTGATAGTATAGTATTAATGACTGCTTTGAGAGAAATAGTTGTTTTTATACGCTCAAGGGAAGGTTAGAATTGTGCTATTGCCCCGAGGCGTGCCGAGGGCAATAGCCCAATTGTAACCTTCCCGAGAGCGTATAAAAACAACTATTTCTCAAATATTAAAGCAGTTATTAATACTTTTATATGCCGAAAACAAAAGAGTCAACTAATGACACCACCTTGGCCTTTCTCTAGTTTATCTGCACGGTTGTCTTTTATGAGTGTATCTTTGAGAGTAGACTAGATCTTGATTCTAGTCTAAGCAAGATATTTTTACAATTTTGGGGGTGGGCCGGCCCTGTGGGGAGTAGAGAGAATAACCTGCGCTTTCATATGACACCTCACTTATTGAGTATCACCTTCAGGATCACAACAGATAAAGGTTTGAATCTCGAATTGAAAAAAAAAACTTGACTTTTTTGCATGATCGAGCAATACAATGCACGTAGACTGCATAGAGACTGCATTGCGTGTAATCTCTATGGGAAGAATATAGCACACAACATCGGGTGCGCGATCAGACACCCTGACAACTAACTCCAGGAGCTTCCCGGAGTTACCTGACAACTAGATATATTTTCGTCTACGTCTATGCTGGTACTCCATTTTCAAACGAACATGTTTATGGATAATTTCACATACCCTTTTTGTTGTTCTTGCTGTCAGCGAGTCTTGCATTTGATAAGTTGAAATCTTAGACAGTTTCTTTAGCCTTTTGTCTTGTTTGGAATTGTCTTGTCTTGTATGAAAATACCGACCAATTCTTCGCACACGTACGGTATCCTCGATCGCTCAGACCATTTTTTAACATGTAAACCTATGGGGTAACCATGGAGACTGACCTATTTTCCCAATAACCATGGTTATTGGGATTTTGAACTGTTTTAACCATGGTTACTGGGAATTTTCGGGAACAGTTAAAGTTTATGAATGCAATTTCGACCAATCAGATGGCTGGATTTCTTAAGTGAGGTATATAAAAGCTAAGATTACATGATTACTTCAACTAATGAAAACTATTTTTTGTCTGCATGTTTAGAGTCAAAAGGGCATTAACCCATATCAGTTAGTACCTAGTTAATGCCCTTCTGGTCCTCAAGAGATGATTTGATATTTGTTGTTCACATCTGAATAGATCGGTTTACTAACGTATATGTATTCAAGTACATGGAAGGTTCTAATTTCCTTGGGTTGAGTATTACCTGGCTGCAGTACAAAAGCATGTGTTTGCTTGTACATGTAAGTAAGCAGCCAGGGCACTGACAGCTATATGTCCTCTCTTGAGGGACTTGATTAACGCTATTTATACCAAAGTACAGCGCATTGACTTGGTTTCAACCTGGTTGTAGATCTTTGCTGTACCAATTTAATAGCCATATAGTGCATCTTCTTTTCACTTCTTTACATCTTTTCTGCCTACTATTCGTTTGACCTTTATTATGCATCTTGTTCTTGTAAGCGTGATATAAACAGCCACGTATTGCCTGTTATTTGATAGAAACCATTCTTGAATTGAATTGAATCAGAAGGAATTGAATTGAGCTAAACAACAAGACCTTGAAACACATTTCAGAATGGCTTAAAGGTATTTTCTGATAAAAGACAGTTCTGTAAAATGCTCTGGTTAGAACTGGGCCAACTATATCTGAAGCTTTTTTAAAACATTGGGGCCCCTAAAGGTAATACAAAGTTTTGGTATGGGGTCATGAATTTGGTTCAAATAAACGTATTGGAAGCTTTTGCGATTTTACAATATTCAATGATCATTGTCGCATTTAAAATCAAGTCTAAAGTGATGAAATTGTAAATAACAAACTCTTTATGTTGTAAAGCGCCCTCTCAAGACCGATATTACTTTAGGTTTAAAACAATGTTTCTTGACTACAATCGACCAATTTGCTATTCCCGTTTTGAAATTATATATCTGAACTGCATATTTTGAGATTTTCATGGTCGCAGCTACCATGGAATGGCCTTAGGCGCTATTTGAAATATTTGAAATTTAACGGGAGCACCAGTAAATTTATGATTATTCAATTTCTTGAAAGCCAAAGTGTTTTAGGGGCTAAATTTTCTAGAGCTTATAAAAAATCCACAGGGGCATCCAAATATATCAAAATTTAAAAAAATTACCATCCAACCAATTTTCAGAATTTCCCAAAACTTTGCATTACCTTTAATAGGGGATATATACTTGTTTGATATTTTTCAATCATATTTCAGGGTTATATGTGGATAAATGACGTATCACTGCACAAAGAATGCAATCAATGTTTTAGATACACACATGTAGCTAGAAGTATTATACTTACCGGTAAAGTAACAGAGCTTAATTAATTTACTGTGTGTCCATCATAATTAGTTGTGTTTATAAGGATTTAGTTCTGATACACTTACAATTTCAGTTCTCGTGTAGATGATTTTGAAATTGTAGAATTTGCATAAAACTGAATAAAGAATTAGGGCCCCATGCATTATCACCTGAAGATCACATCATACAGAAACTATGATATAATTATCACAATTCTTAATAAATACAACATTTGGTATAGACTTCCTAAAGTCTGTAGACTCAATATGTACATGGCAGCTATCAATCTTGTTTAGTGAAATGCTAGAGTGCTGTATGGCAGCCGCGCTAAAGCCAGGATAATAGTCGGGAGCGCCAGGAGGGTCAAATCTGACTAACATGAGCGCTATACAAGAGCACACTATCATTATTTTTATTATGCCTAGTTGGGAAAGCAGTCATCTTGTTTTAAAACGGGAGATCCCGGGTTCCAAACCTATTTGGTGCACTAGTGCCCTCTGGTAATTAAGGCATTAATCCTCATTACCAAGTCCCTAGGAGAGGACTAAGAACCGTTAATCCCCTGTTTGCTCACTTATAAGCATATATACACATGCTTTATTAGCAGTCCGGTAAAACAACCCGACCAACCAACCATCTGTATGTTAATATTTGTTGATAGGCCTCGATCCCAAGAACTTATGGGATGAGATACTTTTTACAAAGTTTTCATCCGGTGTGTACGCCCCTATCACGTTTCTTAATAGGAGTTTGGTATACATTTCCTCAAGTCTCATTCTGAACAGGCTTTTAATCCCATTTATATTGTTGTTGATAGGCCTTGCTGAACCATAGACCTACGGCTGAACCTACCCAAAAACACATCGGATGAGTACCTTTTTACAATATTTCCCTATACAACGTTTTTTAATACATTTCCTAATACGTTTCCTCGTACGTTTCCTAATACGTTTCTTAATACAAGTTTGGTATCAATTTCCTCAAGTCTGAACTCGCAGGGATTAAATCATGTTTATATTGTTGTTGATAGGCCTTGCTGAACCTGCCCAAGAACGCATCGGATGAGTTCCTGAAGAAGATGGGGATCAAGAAGAACTTGTTCTCTCATGACGTACCCAATCAGCCTCCTGATTTCATGACCTGCGCCTTCAAGGTCAACAAGCTTAAAAAGTAAGTCTACGTCAGCAGCGGGGGGTATTCAGGTGATGGGTACAACTGGCCTGTGCCGTTACCACCTTCTTTTCAAACTCGGGTAGCATACCTAAAGTATAAATCTCCTAGAGTGTTCGATCACCCCCTTCGGAGTGATGACCTCCACGTCCCCATTTTTTTCTTTCATTTTTTTTTTTTACTTCTAATATATTTTTTTCTTATCAGAAAATTGTCAGATTGTTGTGACTCTTCTCTTACACATTCCTGGATCTGCCTATTTGCCAATGAATAATTAGCTTCAAACTATATGTTTTGTGAATATCTAAAGTTCTCTCCTAATTTCAAACCAAATAAAAACGTTTTCTGCATCCCCAAAGATGAAAAGATAAATGGTTACATTAAAGGGATTTTGTAGCAATGCTTTATAAATTTAAAAAAGTACTTTTAAAGTGACTAAATGTATTATTATTATAATAGTATAAATTATTATTAAAAACATCTGAAAGTGAGAGAGAGAATGGAACTCACATATTAAAAAGAGAAAATGAATGAGTTTTTCAAAGCAAAATTTTGGCCGAAGTAACGGCAGATCACCAATTGAAATAGCCTGTCATCCTCATGTGTTCATCATGAGACATCGCTGATATGTGTGCGTAGTCGATAACATTCTGTGTTTATTTGCTTAATTTGTGTAGGTATCTCAATAGTGATCACAGAGAACAGTTCTTCAGCAACATCGACCGAACCCGTGTCGTGAATGAAATCCTCGAGACAACGACCTATGGCAAGCGGAAGAGAGCAGAGGTCGGAATCAGTAGACTGATTGAAGAGGAGATTTTTGAAGCTGCATTCCCTCTCCATGATGTAAGCTGAAATATTTCAAAACTTACAAATATCTAGTTAATTTTGAATCAGGGCTTCAAACTTTATATGCAATGTCTTCAACTTGAAATTAAATTTATTGTTGAAATGTACAATAAATCTCAAAGATGGGTAAAATGCCTAAAATTCCGAACAAATCAATTTTCCCTTTCTCTCCGTTTTTTCTATATCTCTCGTGAAATTTCTATTTTTTCTTTTTCAGTAATTTAAATATTGATACAGTTGACATACATGAAAATATATAAAAAGTTCATTTATTTTAGACCACCTTACATCAACTATTTTATGTTTTGAAAAAATGGTAGATATTAAAGTTACCTAACATAAATCACTTTATCAATACTTTTGAAAACAACCATGAACTGAGAAAAATGCTTACATCCCTATGCTTGACCTTTAACCTTTGCCCTTTGACAGGGACCCGATAAATACCCTGACCCGGGGGTCAAGAGAGAAGACTGGAACAAGAGACAGATTCTGATGAAGTACTGGGCCAGATGGGGTGCCTGGACCAAGTACCAGCCTATGGACCATATCAGGGAGTACTTTGGAGAGAAGATTGGTCTCTATTTTGCTTGGCTAGGTGAGAGTTTAAACAAATGAATTAATGAGATATGTAAATGAGCTGAACAGAGCATGGACAAAAAATTCTTCCATAGTGTATGTTAAAAGCTGGTATACGCATACTATATTTTAGTGCAGTTGGGTTATATTCAACCTAAGGTTTGTTGTTGACATTTGGTTAATATGCAAAGTTTTTGGAAATTTTGAAAATGGGATGGATAGTAATTCTTTAAATTTTTATTTATTTGGATGCCCCTTGGTATAATTATTACAATTACTATCAATAGTAAAATCTCAGAAAATGCAGTTCTGATATATAATTTCCAAACAGGAATAGCAAATTAGTCGATAGTAGTCCAAGAATATACTGTAATATTGACCTCTTGTTTAGCACACTTGTCTTTGTGTAGTGGATATGTGATAAAAGTATTACTATTTGGTACATGGATGTCACATTTTGTAAAAGATACAGGATGTTTTACTACTATTTTTATCATTATATTGTGTTCGTATCAATTTGTAGGTCTATACACAGGATGGTTACTACCAGCCTCTATCGTTGGTGTCATTGTCTTCATCTATGGCCTCATCACTATGCCCTTCAATCCTATAGCGTGAGTATTGAGTCAGTTCTGTTCAGTTCTGTTCAGTTCAGGTCAGTTCAGTTCTATTCAGTTCAGTACTTTTCTCTTCTGTTCTGTTCAGTTTCGTTCTGTTCAGGTCAGTTCTGTTCTTTTAAGTTCAATTCTGTTCTGTTCAGCTCTCTTCTCTTCTCTTCTCTTCAGTTCAATTCAGTTCATTTCTGCTCAGTTCAGTTCATTATCAATTGAGTTCTGTTCAGTTCAGATCTGTTCTGTTCTGTTGTGTTCAGTTCTGTTTTTTCAGTTCTGTTGTGTTCAGGTCAGTTCTGTTGTGTTCAGGTCAGTTCTGTTCTTTTATGTTCAATTCTGTTCTGTTCAGCTCTGTTCTGTTCTGTTGTGTTCTATTCTCTTCAGTTCAGTTCAATTCAGTTCATTTCTGCTCAGTTCAGTTCATCTCAGTTGAGCTCTGTTCAGTTCACTTCAGTTAAATTCAGATCTGTTCTGTTGTGTTCAGTTCTGTTGTGTTCAGGTCAGTTCTGTTCAGGTCAGTTCTGTTCTTTTCAGTTCAATTCTTTTCTGTTCATTTCTGTTCTTTTCTCTTCTCTTTTCTTCAGTTCAGTTAAATTTAGCTTATTTCTGTTCAGTTCAGTTCTGTTCAGTTCAGTTCTGTTGTGTTCTGCTGTGTTATGTGGTGTTCTGTTCTGCACTGCACTGCACTGTACAGATCAGTGTGGTGCAGTTAAGTTAAGTTAAGTTCAGTTCAGTTCAAATATGTTTATTAAAAACAACATAAAATGCAGCTAAATGCTAATATTGTTAACAAAGTAAATCAGAAATTTACATTATTGTACAAACATCAAAATACCAAAAGTAGTATGATAATGGTAACATCATACATCAACATGATATAATATTTAACAATGATTAAAAAAATATGGATAACTAGTTCATCAAAATAAAATAGGTAATGTGAATGAATATTCAAGGATATATTCAACTGAGAATATTTAGGCTTATTGCACAAAATATCACTTTAGATGAACGATTTTAGTTGAGTATGAGAAGGAATAATTACACACTAACATACAATTGTTTAAATAGGTTTTAAATAGCCATACAAACTCAATTAAAATTTGACTGTTCAATAGTCATTCCCTAAAAACACAGAAATACCAGATAGCTTCAGATACATAGTTATAGAAACAAAGACTATATAAAGCTACTGATTGGAAGAAACATCAATGACAATGAGACAAAAGAGGCTGAAAAAGACTTTACAAATTCAACAGTGCAGGAGCATAGGCTACTGGTATATGATGTTTTAAACAGGAAGACCATTCAACATGTTTGCCTTACGTGTATATGCAGAAAGTACAATATGTAGTCCCACTTGTTGCTACGTCTCATTGTCAGGGGTTGTCAGATAATTTGCATTAACCCTGATTTGATTTTACTGGTACTTGAACAACCTCGTAATGAAGGTTGTAATATAACCATGAAATTTGTTTAATCAGTACTCCCTAACAATAAACTGTATGTCAGTCAAATTTCCATTCTCCACTCGAATGATTCCTCTTTGGTTTATTATTTCATTTCTGGAACAGATTCATCTCATTGAATCAGGTTTCCCTCACAGAGTATACAAAAATCCTGAAAGAATTCTTATATCTCTGTTAATTTGAATAACAACAGTGAAAAATGTGGATAAAAATATGAATTAAGCTTGCTGTTATGCATATATAAATGGCGACCTTTTAAAACTGTGTGTTAGGTCTGATGTTATTGGAATAAAGCACAGGAGTTAAGTCCTTAAAGCCAGTGTGTCCCTTTCGCTTGAGAAATCTGGGGTGCCTCAAATACTCCACTTTTTTATCGGAAATGCAGGTTATGAAATACCTATAGAATATTAGGCCAATTGATGCAGTCTATGTGCATATATCATTCAATTAGCTTCTGAGATGAGATTTTTCATCGGACATTAGAAAAATATTTTGTTTAATGCGTACCCCTGGTTGGTGTAATTTTGTTCACATTTAAGACCAAAATCCATATGAACCTTACTTTCAGTATTATTTGAAAACAAAACAGTTGGATTTAAAATGCTATTCTAAGAAAGATATACCATCGATTGTCCATGGTGTGTCATATTCATACCTAAAATACAAGAACTGGGTCTGACAGGAACCCTATGAATTAACAGTTTTACATGAAAACTAGATCACTGTTTACTTTCAAATTTCAGAGATGGATAACGTACATGTGATCCAGGCAAAGTTTTAGTGAATAAGGTGCAGTTTAAAAAAAGGGGCACAGGGCCTTTAAACCATTGACTATTGAATTCCTTCATCCCCATAGGCTTAAAGGTATTACAAAGTTTTGGTATGGGTCATGAATTTGGTTCAAATTTAACATATTGGGAGCATATGCGTTCCTACAATATACATTGATCGTTGTCGCGGTTGAAATCTAGTCTAACGTTATGAAATTATAAATAATAAACTCTTTATGTTGTATAGCTCCCTCTCAAGGTCAAGATATTAATTTAGCTATGAAACAATGTTTTTTGACTAAAATAGACCGATTAGCTATTCCCGTTTGGAAATTATTTATCCCAACTACATATTCTGAGATTTTCATGGTCGCAGCTACCATTGTCCGGCCATAGGCGCTATTTGAAATTCATCAAAATTTTTCTCGAAAACAGTAGTGTTTTAGGGGCTAATATTTTTAGTGCTTATAATACATTCACAGGGGCATCCAAATATTACAAAATTGTAAAGATTCACTATCCACCCAATTTTCAAAATTTTCCAAAACTTTGTATTACCTTTAATACAGTAGCGGTTTCTCGTAGGCAAAGGGTTAAAATGCTAGAGAACCGTAACATCAGCCGTTCTAAAGCCAGGTCATGGAAGTGTCCAGTGTGGCAGACATCAACACCTAAGGCCATTAAAAGATTTTTTTTTTTGGCCTCTTGCCTTTTTGAAAAAAAGGAAGGAGGCCCTTTTTTTCAAAATGGCCCGCTCGTTACATTTTTCCTGACAGTCGGGCTATTTTTCAAGATGGCCGCCAGCCTTTATGTTTTCTATTTTAAACAAAAATTCAGAAATAGTTTATTAATAGCAGTATGTTTTTCATGTTTTTTTATTTAAAAAAAAAGGAGGCAGCCTCAAAAAAGGAAGTGGGCGGGAACGCTAAACATGAATTTTTATTAAAATGGCCTAACAAGACTCCCATTGATTTTATTAATCATTTTGATCCCCTTGTCTCTCATTGATTTCTCAGGAAGCAGATCTGTGATAGTTCAGACGATTTCCGCATGTGTCCCCAGTGCGACGTAGAGATAGGCTGCACGCATTGGAACCTGTCAGAAACTTGTTTAGAAGCAGAGGTAAATGTGTTTGTGTGTGTGTGTGTGTGTGTGTGTAATTTAGTTCTTACAGACGTATATCTATCAGATACGATTATTTACGTGTGGGGACTGACCTTTAACGTCACCATCCAAAAGACGTGACTCAGTCTCGACCGAGTCCGCCTAAGACAGTTTGTAGGTGAAGACAGAGAGCCGCCCAAGTGATGGTATCACTAGACAAACTCAGTATTGATCTCATATTCATTAAAGGGAAAATTGATTTCTGTTGCAGAGGGCGCTACAAAAAAAAATAAATTGTGAGATAATGAAAACTGAGTGTCAAATTTGAAAGAACATACAATTTAAATGACAAAATCATCTTTGTTTAATCAAAATAGGTTCAGAGACGGCTGTAATATCCATAAATAAAACAATTCCTACATGTATAATAGTACCACCACAAATATTAGATAGTTTGAAAAAGCCATTGAAAAACCCGAAATATCGCCTTTTACGTCGTATTTCAGCCAATGCCAATGTTGGCTTTTTTGTTGGCATTTTCGTGTTGGTTATATTACGCACAACCAGCCGGCCTATGTATTGCTATTTTTAATTAAATAATTAATTAACGGTCACCGTATTTTTTTGAAAGTAGAGCTGAATTGGTATGTTCGTATTGGCTAAATTTCACACATTTTAGGGTCTAAAATTACCTTCATAGCAATTTCAGGTTGTAAAAGGGCACTAGAAATGTCATAGATAAGAATAATAGAAATAACCATGCACATTCAAGGCATGGGGTTTGAAAACAGAACTCAACTATCCCATACAATTGCATGTATATATGTGTCCTGTATGACATACATCACACAATGAAAATATCTTGATGAAACCACAAAGTGAATGCGATATTACAATTTCTATCGCTTGTGCAACTATTTTGAATTTTTACATTTTTAAAAATTCAAGAACTCAAGAACTTCCTGGGGCGCCGCCCCTTGACTCCCGACAAAGGCTTTGCCCCCGCACCCTATCTGTAAAGATAGAAGTGGTTTTGTTGTATAATATTGGAGAGAGTGTGAGCTTTATGTAGTTTAAGCTTCTAACAATCACTCTCTTTTTATGTACACAATTTCTTGCTGTCTGCTAGCTGCCTCGAGATCACTGGGGCGAAGAAAGGCAATAATGTATAGCAAGAGTCCCTATTCAGCAAAGGATTAAATCCTTTTTATTCAAATTGGTTCTTCTACCATTCTTGACCAGAAGTGCGTGTCAAGCTTAATGATGTGGGCATCATCCCATTGAATGTTGTGTCCAGTATTAAGGGTGTGTACTGCTACTTTTGAATGAGATTGAATGCCTTATCTGTTGGCTTTTTGGTACTCTTCAAAAAGAGCGCACAATAGGGGCAGTGCAAATTAAATTTCAAGGGATGGATTAGAGCTTTTATCGCTCACAACAGCTATCTAGAATATTCTGAGTTGCCAATTTTGCTTGCCATGGAAGCCCCCCCCCCCCTGGACCTGTCAAATGACATACAATCATGATTTTGAAAACTCCACATCCAGCCATGATTCTGTCCTAGTTTTCTGATGTGGTCAGGGATTTAGGACATTCAGTACAAGTTTTATTAGTTATTTTTCAACTGTAGAGCAATAATTGAGCCAATGTAATGAAAATATTGACAAAAAATGTACCAAAATCACAAGAGTTGAGTTTGAAAATTGACATTTTCTTTTCAACTGTAGATAATGATAAAGCCAAGATACTGAAAGTGCTCATAAAAAACTATATACACCAAATCACGCAAATTGAGTATTAAAATCAAAATTTTCTTCTGCTGAGGGAGCCACATCCCCACATCTGCGCAAATGCAGAACGCGGCGCTTTTGCGCCGCTTCTGTCATTTTTCATTGTGCCCCATCCCCCCTTTTCAAAATTCCTGGATCCACGCCTGCATACAATAATAATTACTTTTCTCATTGTGTATAATTTACTTCAATCTGTCATCTATTTTTTACAGATATCGATTCTGTTTGACCATCCTGGAACTGTATTCTTCTCCATATTCATGTCATTCTGGGGTAAGTATAATTGATCATGTGTTCGCTTTGGATTTAAACCCTTGTCTGTAGCAATGAGTGATTTCAAGTTGGGTGTTAGTGTAAGTGTTTAGAGCAGTCAAGAGCTCTTAAATTGTTAAATCGAGCTAAAAGTTTGCTGATGAAATTGAGAGCCTGATGCCAATATCAATATCGATAGCTTAGCGCTAACACCAAACTGGAAAACAACATTTGCTTAAAGAGGCATGTTCCCCGTATTCCAGAGGGCGTTCAAAATACGTACCCGCTGGCGGACGGTGCTAGCTGCCTATTGACACCAACAGAATACGGCTCTTACGCAGATGGCATGTTCCGAATGCCCGGACAATACCGATTATCGCATACATGTGCCGAAGTAATGCCAATCGCAGTTCGGCTCTAAGATTCGGCTGCTGTTTCCGCCCACTTTCGTGACGTCGCGATCGTCAGCGATCAGCTGGCTTGGCGAAGGCAGGCCAGGCCGCGCGTACTTTGATTGACAGCTGTATGCAAATTAGAAGTCGATCTTCGGAACCAAGATGGCGATGACTAGAGCAGCGATAACTACACTGGCGGGAACGTGCCACTTTAACCCTTACTGTACTGGGGGGGGGGGGCCTGGGAGGCCCCCCCCTCGACATTTTCGGAGATCGCGCCGCAACCGCTTGGAATTTCGAATTGTCGTTTCATGACTTTTTTCCCTCAAGTCTTGCGCACATTTTGATACCATTTTCGTCAAAATCGGATATACCTGTAAGGTGTTACATAACAATTAGTATGCGCATGTCATCAAAAAAATGCTATAATTGCATATATTCATGTACAAGCAGAAATGTGAAGATATGAATTGATATCAAATTGCTTTTATATGTTTCTCAGACTAACTTGATGTATTCCAGAACAAAAGAATACATTAGAAATAAAACAATAGATATAATAAGAAATAAAAAACAATAAAATACATAAGCAAAATAAATAGTTGAAAATCGCATCAAATTTGCATAAATTATCATTATTAATTAATTCAAATAACTATTTTGTGTTAGAAAAGAAGTTTCATATGAATAATGAGTTTCAACATTCAAAAAGTGGAGTCTGACAATTTTTGTAATGATTCTAGTTCCCTAAATATAGTTCCAGATTTGATATTCATGAATGCGTAATTTGCGTATTCATAATTTATGCAAATTAACCTATGAATTTTCAAATATCATAAAAATCATGAAACCTCATGAATTTGAGATGAAGGAAACATTTATTCAATACATTTTCAAGATTCTTTACAAGTCTACGGATAAATATGTAGAGTTTTCTGTAAAATGCATAAAATTAGTATTTTGCATAATTAATTAGGCTATAACGACAAAACTTTGCATATTAGGAAAAAACTAATTATACCATCTTGTTCCTTACGTAAATATCTACAAATATGCAAATTTTCGCGTTCATCGGACATTCGACGGCCGAGATCATAGGGGGGGGGCCTCCCAGGCCCCCCCCCCCCCCCAGTCAGAGGGTGCTCAAAATAGCCCAGTACAGTAAGGGTTAATCCCTAGGGGCTAGTGTTAGTGAACAGGACATTTGTACGTAAAATTTTAACACCCGCCACAAAGGTCGGTTCAGCAGACTACAATTTTGTAAATTCAGAGGTCAAGGCCTTAACACCAGCTGATTTTGGTGTTTAGGGCTGGTGTTAGTGTTTATGAAACACAATACACCAGCTCTAAACACCCAACTTGAAATCACTCATTGTCTGGAGTATACAATGGGAAAAGGGACCCTATGTGTGACAAAAGTCAACTGACATTCCACTGGTCGTTCCATCAGTCGTCTAAAATTGATAAAGAGATTTGATCATATCTGCTGGGTTATATTTTATCAATCCTAATCACACTTATGCTTGTAAGGTCAACCAGGAACCAAGGATCGAAGAGAAGGATTCTAAGAAAGAAAAAAAAGTAGGAGAGATTGAAAAAGAGAAGGAGGAGAAAAAGAGGATTAAAGAATATGAAGAGGAAGATCTATCATGTGAAGAATCCTGAAAAAGTTTTCAAACCACAAAGATATCTATGGTTTTCTTTGAAGGTGTCACTGTGCAACACCTTTTAACAGTAAATTCTCCCAACCATTTTTAAATTTTCCTAACCATTTTTTTTTCATGAAAAAAAACACATAAAACACTTCTTTCAGCACTTCAATGTTTGGAATGGTATATAGAGCCAATCCATTGCTTTGTGGCAATTTTCATTCACCTAAAATGTAATTAAATTGTAATAAATATAGTTGGGAGAATAAAGGAATCGTTCAGATCAGTTTTCCCAATTTGTATCATTAATAATGGTCCGTTTTCACTCAAACTTTCAGATTATCTTTATTTGTACACCTAGCTTTGAAGTCACCACCTTAGCACCATTTTCTCCCATCTGAACATTGTTACCAAATCCCTTTAAAACAAATATGTGACTTTCAAGCAAACTCATTTCGAATTAACACATCCTTGTAGTGCTAATTGTACTTTATTTGCTTTCAAGTAGGGTCTCTTAATAATCAACACAATACTTGTTCTTGAAACAGCGGTATCATTCCTGGAGAGTTGGAAGAGGAGCCAAGCTAGTCTTGCTCATCACTGGGACTGCTGGAACTTTGAAGAAGAGGAGGTATTTTTTCAAAACTTTATTCTCTTAGTAATTGCAGTTGTCGTTATATAGATGGTAGTGGTATAAGGTTGTTAGTAGCATTAGTAGTAATAGTAGTAGTAGTAGTAGTAATAATAGTAGTAATAGTAGTAGAAGTAGTAGTAGGAGTATTAGTAGTAGTAGTAACAGTGGTGGTAGTAGTACTAGTAGTAGATATCGTAGTCGTAGATGTCGCAGTAGTAGTAGTAGTAGTAGTGGTGGTGGTAGTAGTAAATGTAATAGTAGTAGAAGTAGTAGTAGTAGAAGTAGTAATAAAATTAGTAGTAGTAGTAGTAGTAGTAGTAGTAGTAGTAGTAGTAGTAGTAGCAGGAGTAGTAGTAGTAGTAGCAGGAGTAGCAGGAGTAGTAGTAGTAGTAGCAGGAGTAGTATTAGTAGTAGTAGTAGTAGACTTCATGGGTTAAGTTAATTGTCCAATAAAGGGTTAATTTGCCACAACTTCAATAAGGTTAATTCACATTGGTAAAATGGGAAAGAGCTATGGTCGGCTATTCAGTGCATTTGTGTGCTTACAACAGTTCTATCTCAATTCACGTTATTTTACAGGAGCGTCCTCGACCCCAGTTTGCAGCCCAAGCCCCTGCCATGGAAGAGAACCCTATCACGGGCGTCAACGAACCATACTTTCCTGAAGACATCAAGAAGAGGAGATGGTTGACTGGTATCTTTGTAATCTTTGGCATGGTAACTAGGATGTTTATTATCTTTTCCCTCTGTTTTTAAATTGTCTTCTGTCCATCTTGTTCTTTATTGAACACATGCTTCTTTATCAGCATCAGCATCATTTTATTCTTTTGTTTTTTTCTACTTCTCTATCTTTTTTCATTATCTTACGAAGGTTCTAATCATGATTATAATGTTGATGATGATGATCATCATTATTATCATCAGCGTCATCATCATCACAATCATCATCATCATCATCATCATCGTCATCATCACCACCACCATCATCATCATCATCATCATCATCATCATCATCATCATCATCTTCATCACCATCACCATCATCATCATCTTCATTATTATCATCATCATCATCTTCATCATAATCAGCATCATCATCTTCATCATCATCATCATCACCATCTTCATCATCATCATCATCACCAGCACCATCCTCCTTTCCTGCTTTATCACTCTTGTTTTCTTTTCCTGCTCTTTATCTCTTTATTCATTTTGATTGTTCTCTTTCTCCCCTCTCATTTCTGTTATAACTCCTTTATTTTCTTGTTTAACATGTCGCATTTGCTTAACCTGGGCTGTCTTGTAAACACTGTATTAAATGAGGACAGGGCCATAATGTAATGGTAAAAAAATTGTTTTAAAATGGTCAGTGCTCCTCAATTATCATGTACTTGATATTTTCATTTAATAATTTTTGAAATGTTTATTTTGTTTTCCCTCTCTAGGTTTCTTTGGTCCTCATCTTCCTTGTGGGTGTGATCATGTACAGAGTCCTGGTCAGCATACCCCTCTCCCAGAATGAGCTCTTCCGCTCCAACGCCCAGACCATTGCCAACATGACCGGGGCCGTCCTTAACTTGATCTTGATCATGGTCTTGGGCCAGGTCTACCAGAAACTAGCGGTTATCATGAATGATTGGGGTGAGGTCTATTCCTTTGCTTCATGGATAGTTTACTTTATATACCTCTCTTTAGTATGTTGAATAAATCTAGTCATCTGATTGATTGAAATTGGAGTCATGATTTTAGCCATGCCCACCTACCGGTCATTAGTTAATGAGAAAGATGCCCTGTAGTTAAATTTTGCTGAAATCCCTATTGGTTTACGTGTAAAAAGGTTTCTTTTGCAAGCGCGAATTCCCAGCACAGTGTGAGATTGCTGAATAATCGTAACATTCAAGCAAATTTCCAGCGAAGATTTACAGGCAGTGTCTCAGATTTTCTGTGATGTTTTAAACAGTCTTTACTCAAGAAAAGGATAAGGAAAGAATTCTTTGTAGATTTTTTTGTGAATTCAATATATAAAAGATATATAAAGACTGCTTTAACATTTCTCCAGTCGGTGCCCTCTAATCTTTCTCTTCTCTTATATTATCTGGTGCTAAGGCCTGTTTCATTTTTTTAAATGCCTCTATCTGTGTTTCTCCCCCGGCAGTGATCCGTAATAATAATAATAATAATAATATGTCTTGTTTACCCGGGGTGGCCTCATCAGTATTCATACTGTTTTTCCTGATATTACTACTCCGGCTTTAACCGAGCTACCATTAAAAGGTGCTCAAGCATTCAAGGAATTTGTTCCTACCGGGTACCTATTTACCTCACCTCACAATGTTCTCGACATAAAAATGAGTAGGTTTTGGGGGATAGTTCTGACCATTACTACAGCAAGTTTTTTTTTACATCTTGGCATTGATGCATAAGCCCACCGCTGCCATCAGCTTGTACATTTGGGTGTATAACTTAAAGCCCCACTGCACTAGTTTGGCCAGGTGGGATTAGACCTCCCTGCATGGTCACTGACAGGTGGTTATCTCATCAAATCAGCTCTCAATTAACATAAGAAAAAGAGGATCATGGGGGGACCAATGGTCACCGATTAGGCATTGTTTGCTATATAGAGGGCGCAAGTCGCTATAAGTAATGCAGTGGGGCTTCAATACACAAACAAATGTTAACTCAGTCCACCCTCTCTGGTATATTTGTAAGTCTCGCAATTGATTACGACATGGCCAGTGGTGTCCATCTTGAAGAATCATCAGCAGCACACTGATTTGGTCACAAAGTCGATCGTATAAAATGCCTTCAATTCTGTGCATCACAGGAAAACAAGATAAATTGGCAATCCAATTGTAGTGGTATCAGTATAATAACATCTGATGGGTGACTGCTTTCCTTCATTCAACTTTTTTACCCCTTTGACTACTAAGTACATTCATTGCCATAATCTTAATACAGAGGCGACTGGGTTCCAGGAGGCAAGGGGTTTATAATGGTATGTTGACGTATGTATGTGTAATGTAAGTTGGTTGATAGAAATCTGCTTTTGTCTCAACAGAGATGCATCGCACTCAGACGGAATACGAGGACAACCTGACCTTCAAGGTCTTCATCTTCCAGTTCATGAACTTCTTCTCATCCATCTTCTACATTGCATTCTTCAAGGGAAAGTAAGTGTTGCCATCTTTACAGTCAAACCTGCTTTAGTGACCACCTGTCTACAAAGACCACCTGTCTATAACGACCTCATGTTTTCTTTCACTTGAAAATTGTTTCTCATTGAACATGTACTGAAGGAACCTGTCTACAAAGACCACCTGTCTTCAATGACCACTTTTTGTGTTTCCCTTGGGTGGTCGCTATAGACAGATTTGACTGTAGCTGCTTAATTCTTGTCATTCTCCCAGGGTTTAAAGGGTTAAAGGAGCAACTTTGTTCCTGTTGACGATGGGACATTGCTCTAGATGTGCAAATGAATGGGGATGGGGGGGGGGGGGGGGCAAAGTGTCGCTCTTCAAGTGAAAATATATTCAGTTTACAAATCAATCTTCCCTATTTCACTTTCTGCATTTTAATGTTGAAAGGTCATTTGTATTTCTAATGTTTTGGATGCAATTAGATTTTTGGTATGACATGAACGTTTTCATAGAACTCCTGCTTGTGGTAGCAGGTGGGCTTATTTCTATTTTAGCAGTTACGATCACAAGGTTCGCGGTTCGAGTCTCGTGGCGACACTAATGTCCTTTGACAAGACATTGATCTACATTTACCACTCTCAATCCAGGTGTTAAATTGGTACCCGGTAGGATGCAAAAGCCAATGTAGCATGCTTAGCAATTTGAGACTAGTAGCTCTTGCTACAATGCTCCCCAGGGAGTGGAGAAAGTGCGTACATTGTGTGCGGACAAGCCAGAATCTGATGACCAGGTTAATAACTGTAAAGCGCTTAGAAACTTGGACATTTGCTGATGTATTAAGCGCTATATGAGCAGAAATATTATTATTATTATTATTGATGAGTGTGCAAGGAAACTTCATTTTTTACTACAAATGTTTTTGATGGTCGATCTTCTCGTAGGTTTCTGGGTTACCCTGGCAAGTACAACACCTTCTTCGGTCTGCGAGAAGAAGCTTGTGGCAGCGGTGGATGCCTGGTGGAACTAGCCCAGCAACTCTTCATCATAATGGTGGGAAAACAGATCATCAACAACTGCCAAGAGGTTGCCATCCCGTAAGCAATATCCTTACAATCGATTTTCTCAGTTTATTCTTGATATTGATGTTGAAACTTTTGTTCAGATGTGATATGGTATTTAAAAACCCCTTTAAAGAAAAAAATGGAGAAAGAAAAGAAATAGGTATTGTCAATCGCCAGTTTTTACAGAAATGACAGTTACTGGCTGAGTGCTACAGACTACAAGACATGGTAGCCAATATTACATGTTCAAACATAATTTTTACAAATGAAATTTGATTTAACAGTTATTTATCAAGGGTTTAATCCCAAGTTATTGCGAGTTTAATCAAGAGGTTAAGGGATACCAACTGTGGCTGTTGGGCCTACCTTTTCAACTGCTTGGTGGTTTAAACACATTGTTTACGATATGAAATGTCCCATACCAAATCTTGTTTTGCAGTGTCAGAGAAAGTACGTCCCAAAGATTTTTTTTTTCTCATGATAACTAAGTGCATATTCAGGTGATTACAAGTATGTCTTATGTGACATTAAATCATCATTGCATAAAGGTTCCAGAAAAAAATTATGAGTTAACAGTCAAATTGAGATTTTTCACTTTATTTTCAATGAATGAATTACCATGCACATATCTAATATTTTTACATGACATAATATGACATAATACGATAAATGCCCATACAATGGATCCTTTTTTGCATTATTTGGTTGACAGGAAACTGAAGCAGTTTATCATCAGGTGGAAGGTCAAAGGGTCAGCGTTCGGTGGATCAGAAGGACAGAGTAGCCGGTGGGAAGAAGATTACCAGCTTGTGCCTAATGAGGGCCTCTTTGAAGAGTATCTGGAAATGAGTAAGTACATGCACACTCTAGGGAGAGAGAGAGGGAGGGAGGGTAAGTGAGTGAGTGAGTGAGAGAGTGAGTGAGAGAGAGAGTGAGAGTGTGTGAGTGTGAGTGGGTGGGTGGGTGGGTTGATGGCTGTCTGGGTGAATGAGTGAGTGAGTGAGTGAGAGAGTTAGTGAGTGCGTGGGTGGGTGGGTGGGTGAGTGAGAGAGTGAGTGAGTGAGCGCGAGAGAGTGAGTGAGTGGGTGGGTGTGTGGGTGGGTGAGAGAGAGGAGAGAGAGAGAAAGGGAGAGGGAGGGAGGGAGTGAGTGAGTGAGTGAGGGTGGGTGTGTGAGTGTGAGTGAGTGGGTGAGTGAGTGAGTGGGTGGGTGGGTGGGTGCGTGAGTGAGTGAGAGGGTGGGTGGGAGGGAGAGAGGGAGAGAGAGAGAGAGAGAGAGACAGTGAGTGAGTGAGTGAGTGAGTGAGTCCCATATGAAGAAATGATGGGTAACTTGTTAGAGATATACCGTAAATCCAGTCTTGGCAAAATGTTCGTTCATGAATATCCTGCAAAAATGGCTCTGATTTACAAATTTATTATAGATCATGCCACTGAAATTGTTGTTTTCTGTGTGATATACAGAAATGATCCAAAAAATATCCAACTAGTTTTAAAAAGCAAACTTTTAATTCTTAAAGATAAAGCTGCTTTCTGGTCATGCGATTGCATTGTGAAAGAAAAGTTGTGGAATCGATCAGAAAAGGGTGATCATATTTAGAATATTAAGGCATTTGAAGAGCCATATGCTTTTAAGGGAACACTTTTAATCTGATGTTCTTCCACACTTGCATGATACAATGATAACGCTCGCAAATTATTTTTCACCTCTTCCCAGAACTCAACCTTCTCTTTTAATTCTCATTTTGTTTCCTACCAGTCATCCAGTTTGGCTTCATCACTATCTTTGTGGCTGCCTTTCCTCTTGCCCCCGTCTTTGCCATCCTCAACAACTGGCTTGAGATCAGACTGGATGCCCAGAAATTTGTCTGTGAGCTTCGGCGGCCGGTCGCGGAGAGGGCGCAAGACATCGGGGTGTGGTTCGACATCCTAGAGATAATCGCCCAGTTTGCTGTTATCACCAACGTAAGTTTGGTTCATAGGTTCAATATTCTGCAGAAAGATGTGACTTTGTTTTTAATATTCTTGTTTTGACGCGCATGTAGAATCCTATGAATTACAATATATGTGTGGATGGACAGAAAGGGAGTAGACAAAACCTGTATAAATTGAGATCCTTTAATTAGTATGATATTTTGAATGGTCACCAATTAACTCTTTCCTAGATTATTTTGTGTGTTCTTTGCCATTTGGCCTTCCAAAATTAAGAGGTTTGGAGAATGATTTGCAGTATACATGGAGTTATAGGGTGGAACATTGTACTTGGACTGCCTGTTTTACATTTTTATATTTTTAATTTGTGTCCATTTTAGCATTTGATTTTCCCCGGAGAGGAAAATTCAATATATGCAAAATATGTTCAAAACACAACATAAAGAGAAATGAAAGAAAAACAAAACGCCAAATCTTTGGAACTTTTTGTACACAGTAATGGTACTCCATGCTTTTGTTAAAGCCTATCTGCACTGGTTGGGCCAGGAGGGATTAGACCTTGACTGCATGGTCACTGACATGTGGTTATCTAATCAAATCAGCTCTCAATTAACATAAGAAAAAGGCATCATGGGGGATCAACGGGTGCCATTTAGGGCGCAAGTAGCTACAAGTAGTGCAGTCCCGCTATAACGATTTATATTGCATTTTGTAGCCATCCAGTGTAATCCTCAGTGCAGAGTCGGTATAAAAATGTGTTTTTTCATTTGCCTTTGTGATATTCTCCCTGATTCCGAAAAAATGCAGGCCTTTCTGATCGCGTTCACATCAGAGTTCTTACCCAAGCTGCTGTACCAGTACCAGTATAACTTTAGTTTGGATGGGTATGTGGACTTCACTCTCTCTCGTGCCCCAGCAAATGCTTCGGATGCCCCATGCAGGTGAGTGCATGGGTTGATGAATTCATAACCCCATGTTGAAGAAGAATAAAAGTAAAAAATAATAATTGTGCATGTGAAAAATATAATATCAGTTGTTTGAAATCACCAAGAAAATCTCAGATCTTGTTCATCATTTTTGATGAATCAAATTATGAAATGTCATTTCATCACAATCCTACTGTTACTGGGTGCTGCCATTTTGTAGTCCTCACCGGAGATCATGAAATAAATGCGCTATGGATGTTTGATTGGCCAATTATATCAATCATACTTGTATAAGTATAAGTGCATGTTTTTATAAAATCTTCACAAAAATGCAATATTTATTTTTAATTGAAAATATTAATTTCTATTATATATAAATTACATTTGTCATATTAAGACAGTAGTAAGATAGATAGATAATTTATTGGTCCATATTCAAAAACATAGAAAATTGGCCTCCACTGGCAGCACATAAACATAATACAAAGTAGTTGCAAAATAATTGATATGTCACATAATGTACATAAATTCACACGAGATCATGACATTAACAAAAAGCATAAGTATAAATTACATAGTAATAGGGAAAAGTTAAGAAAGAAGTCGACATTCAAAGATTGAGAAGTGAGGAAAAAGTCGTAAGGAGACTGAGGAGCAAAAATAGTAATAAGAGAGAGGGGAGAGGGGGAAAGAGACAGAGAGGGAGGGGAGAGATAGAGAGATAGAGAGATAGAGGGAGAGAGAGAGAAAGATAGGAACGAAAGGTGGACGTAAGGAGAGAAGAGGGTATAAATAGAGGGAGGGGAAAGAAAAGGAAAGGAAGGGGGACGAGTTATACACGACACATGTAACTGTCTATCTGAGAGGTAATAGACCAGTTTTGCAGTGTATCCACGTTGAATGCGCAGGTCCCCGCGAAGTGCGCGGACACGAATGACTCCTCCCACCCGCCAGGAACAATCGTATTCCAACAGGCAGAATGCGAGCTGCACACGAAAGACACTACCAGGCTGGCAATACATTAGAGCTCGCCCAACCTAGAAACAACCAACGTACGCAACTCACACCCCGCCCACCAAAACACAACCACTCCCAACGGTGAATGGAGCCACCCGCATCCAGGCACCCCGACAAAGACCCACGCACTCAACCCGAACCCACTGCGAAACTGGTCCATTATGTTGTACATTTTAAAAAACCGGCTTTATGGTACTAATTATGCGTAAAAACAGAGCAGAGGCAAGATTGAACGGGGGTCAATTGGCAGGTGTTAGAGTTACAAGGAAAATATAAATATATAACTGGCTAACTGGCTGGCAAGAGACTTTCAAAAGGGTCATCGCTTGACATTAGCATTGAACATATGAATGACATTCGGTACAAAGGATTGTCTGTAACGACAGCGGTTGCTCCTCGGTACGCGTAGGCGAATACCTGAGGGATTGAATCCAAAGAAGTGATGTAATGGATGTGATGGGTCATTCATTATTGTGTGAACTTTAAGTAACATACGTTTTTCATACACAGTACTGATAGGGGGAAGATCTGAATAAATTAACCGCTGGGCAATTTTCCTGGGTCTATCTAACTTTCTCCGATTTTGTTTTGAAAGATTACCAAAAGTGCACAACAAATTGAATGTCAGGATACTCTGTATAAGAGATTGGTAGAAGAGAACTATAACTATCTCTATTTAATGTGAGCCGATTCATAACTTTTCAAATTGATTGTTGTATGAAAATGTGAGTTTAAATGTCCTCTATGTAATGACAGAGGTTACAATGAAGGGTTTCATTCTCCTTTAAGCGTAAAGTATTGGTGACTTGGCATTTGCTCTGGCAACATTTACTTTTTCTAAATTACCTCCAGGCTATTTTTGTGGGGGGAGGGGGGGGGGGGGGTTTAGAGGATTAATTTTACAGTTGCTGTGAAAAATTCTTGTGTTGTGATGTATGTTCGGTTTAAGGTTAGGATCAGTTATAGTATGGGGTCCTGGTATGAATTCAGGATTTCAACTTGTGAATGAAATCTGATAATGGTATTGTGACACATAATAGGAGAGCTAGTACAGAGGGTAGCTATATACGTAAGAAGCTGCGGTTATGTATGGCCTCGTATATATGCTACATTGCATGTATATTTGCTTCATAATAATACATAAGATTTATAAGGCGCCAAATCCACTTGACAGTCAAATACTCAAGGCGCAGCTTGTGCAAAAGATGAAATACATGATACATATATACAAAAGTGCGATAGGAAAGGTACAGGCATGAAAGGTAATGGTAATCAATTATAAGCTAAATTAAACAGATATTTGAATGTGTATAATGGATGTTGAATATAATGTGTTTTATTTGTAATTAAACTAATATTTACACATTGATTTTAATTTGGGTAATGATTTTCCTTATGATGTTAGTCGGATACCATCTCTTGCACCGTTGGCTTTGAATGAATATTTCCATTGATTTTGTGTTTTTGTTTTCCCGCAGATATAAAGACTTCCGAGATGAAAACGGGGAGTACACCATCTTCTACTGGCAGCTCTTAGCAGTCAGACTAGGCTTTGTAATTCTTTTTGAGGTAAGTATACTTACCTTCTCCCCCCCCCCCCCTCCAGCCAGTTACTGTAGTAGCGTATTGGTGTTGTGGTCTAGTGGACAAGTCGTCGGACAGTAGATCACAGGGTCTGCGGTTCGAGTCCCGCCGCAGCACTAATGTCCTTTGGCAAGACATTAATCTACATTTGCCACTCTCCACCCATATGTGAAATGGGTACCAGTAGGAAGGAATTCCTTGAATGCTGTGAGCACCAAAATCGGTAGCCTAGCAGAGCGGGGATAATATTGGAGCGCCTTGAGCACCTCGCAGGGTGGATATGTGCGCTGTATGAATATCCAATATTTTTATAGAAAATTATTCACTGTTCGACACCTCCGCAAGAGTTCTGTTATTGCAACACAATGCTTGGAACTCACATTCAAGTTTAATTATCTGATTCTTTACAAATTTGCTTGTAATAAGTACACACTTCATATTAAAATTCACTCCACATATTCGTAATGGGCAAGGTGTACCAGTCTTTCTATTATCCTGTGTTATGGTGATCAATTTTAATTCAGCTTTCGTTGTATTGACAGTCCTTTTATTAAATTGTCAGACCCTTGTACCGAATGGCCATACCTTTTGTGCTACGCAAAGATTCAATTAGTTTAATTTTGGCCATTACAAGAAGTGGGTTATTGATGTAGACAATTAAATGCTCAATTACAGCTCAAGTTTTACATCAAGTTTTTACTAAATCCATTTTTTTTCTCATTTGTTCACACTTTCACAGCATTTTGTGTTTGGCATATCAAGATTCATTGACTTTATAGTACCAGACATTCCTGAAGCATTAGAAATCAAGATTAAGAAAGAAGCCTACATGGGAAAGCAAGCACTTCAAGAATTCCAGGTATTTATATTCAAAACACTCTTTTTACATCCACTTTTGATTTATGCTCACTGATACTTATTAAGCCCTCCCTGCATGTGGTAAATATATATCGCTTTTTATGGAAAAGCTTATGAATCATAAAATGAAGGGGTTTATTATCAAATTAGCGCTTTAAAGCTTATCTGCCGAAGTTTATAGGAGGGATTAGACTGCCCTGCAAGGTCACTGGACAGGTGGTTATCTCATCAACTCAGCTCTCAGTTAACATAAGAAAAAGAGGATCATGGGGGAGCAATGGTCACCGATTAAGCATTGTTTGTTATATAGAGGGCGCAAGTAGCTGCAAGTAGTGCAGTGGGCCTTTAAGCAAAATCTTATGCAGCTTTTTTTGCGGTTTATACATGTTTTTTGTTGTTGCAGTAGTATGTATTCCTCGGGCACTGCATGAATTTGATGAAAAGCGCTTTGGAATCTTTAATACAAAATAAACATTCCATATTTTTTTCCTGGTCTCTCAAGGGACATCACAAACCTACAGAATTTACATTTTTGATAGTTCATTGCTGAAGAAAAAAGGTTACTTTCAATGTAAACTTTATAAGTCTTTGACTTACACTACGTTATGTGATTTATGCCCTTAACAAGTTTTGAACCAGATGTAAAATTAGAGGCAAAAAACAACAAAATTTTTTGATCTTTAGATAATATTTTTTCCTTCAATAATGAATTATCAAAAAATGTAAATTCTGTAGATTTGTGACCATGATTTGTATGTCCTTTGAGAGACCAATGCCAGTAAATGGTGAGAGCAAACAGTGGCATAAATGGCCTGCCATAGTTTAGTAAACTTAAATTTGATCTAAGTCTTTGTAAAACACACCCCAAAACTTCCTCATTTGTTAACAAGTCGTTTAATATCTTCAAGATACTTTATAATGACCCTGATATAATGAAGTTTACCAGAACTCTGTATTTCGTATGATGCATGATGACATGTTAGTTTTTCCCAGGCTATTGAAAGAAAGGGATTGGGTAACTTTGTCTCAGATTCTGAAACAAAATCCTGGATTTAGCTCTTGCTGCAATGATAATTATAAACCTTTAGGTCAGTCAGGAATGCCATGACTTTTACAAGCCCATCGCCTGTCTTATTATCAGATATTTATGATTGGAAATCAAAATTTAAAAAATTTGTTTTCCTAACAGTTTTCATAACACTAACAGTCTTTTGGGGAAAATGAGTACCGGTATGGTAAAACCAGTCACTCAAAGATTCTTACTTTTTTGAGGTACTTCATGATAATTTTGGAGTGCAATTTTTTTAGGGCTTCAATATTACACCATATCACAGACACTGATAACACGTAGAGCCATGCATTTCAGATTTAACATTGTTAAACGATGCCTTTAAGAAAATAATTTGAATGTTCAGAATATATTACAATACAAATATTCATTGCTCCAGAGTTCGATGTCATGAAAAACGTGAGCAGACAAACTCAGATTGTATGAGTGATTCTAATTTTCTCTCAGTCTCCAGGTTATTGAACTCCATGTATAGTTGCATGATGGAGGTGACTATATATAACAATATGCATTCAAATTTATTGCTTTGAACTTGGGGTATTTGCGATCTCATGCGGGTTTATATCTGAAGTCATTCATCTCGATCAGTTTCATTTAGCCTACTGCATCAAATGTGTGCTGCTAATTAAGACATTGCAAACATTGGCTACACGCAGGGATAGAGGTGCACAGTATGTAATTCACTTTGTGTACGCGCTATACCATGCAAAGGTTGTTGTGTTGCACGCTTGTAGCCTCGTCCGCTTGCAACTAACTATTGAATGTCACATGATAGGTTCACAGCCAATCAGGGAGTTTACAGATACAATCTGCGCATGGGCAGATAAAGGTCATTTGTACCAAACAGGTAAAACCCACCAGAGATGAATACTGGATATGCGCTCATGAAAGTTATGTAACATTATTCATTTATGCACCAGCGGTACATTCTAAGATACGCAGGTGGAAGTATTCTTTTCAAGGGGGCAAACAAAAGGTATTCATGAAGCACATCTAGGACTTTGGCAGTTATTATTCTAAGATGCTCAAAGTGAAACTTCTCCATGTGTTAAAGATCTGTGGATATTTGGGGTCATTTGTACCATGTGCTATCTGTAAACTCCCTTATTGGATGCTTCCTGACAAATACCTTATTAATGCTGTTGTCTTGAACATTGATTTCTCTGTTTGTGTAAGCAAAATATCATGTGTTATGTTCACCTGGGGATGCTTTTATTTTCAGACACCAAATCTATCTGAAGTTTAAGTTTTATTGCCTTTTGAATGGTAAGTCACTAGAGCTTGGGATAGGGCTGGAAATTAATCGTAGATGGAATATAACCTCTTTAAAGGTATAGACCAGTTTTGGAAACGCCCCCCTCTCAAAAAATGAAATGGAAGCTCTTATTACCAATCATGTGAAAGACTACGTTTTGACTAAGACGTGATGATACAAATTTAGCCGGGAAACCGTGTACTAATTGATATATTTGGTAAATTGTTATATCTACCGGACTGGATAGATATCGCATAGTCCCATATACATCTTTCTGTGTACAGTGGTTGTAACTTTACCAAGACTGGGCCAAATTTCTTATCATTTTGATGATTCCAGAACCTTCCAGTACACACCAATACTTATATGCTAGATGATCAACCTTTTCTTATCGATTCCGCAACGTTTCTTTCACAATGCAATCGCATGGCCAGAACTGGTCTATACCTTTAATACCTTTGATATGCCCATGAATATATTGCCTCGTCTATTGGGTGGAGCAGAAGCACAAACACTAACCAAGACTATGGAAAGGAAAAGAAAAGCCTTGAAATAACAACATCTTAAATGACGGTGAACAGGAGTATGATGAAAATGTCATGGAAACATATGAAAACGAACTAAGAAATAGTTCTACATATGGGTAATTCCATAAATTAGGGACCCACTTTGTGACCTTTTTGGTGTCCCACTTTACATAAGGAACCCACACATATTTGTGGCTCTGAGTAAAGACTTAAATAGTGGAGTGAGATTGTAAAGTGATTTCCAGTGGAACCTCGTTATAATGAGGCTCTTGGTTGGGACCAAGGAAATTACCTTGTTATATCGGGGGAAAAAAACAAAAGAATATAAAGAGCTGGGACCAGCAAAATCACCTCATTAATATCAGAGCTTTTTATACTAAGGTTCCACTGTAGTAAGAATGGTACACATCCGCCCCTTTGGACAGATGAAAATGGAAATCGACCTGGCAGGTATATGTAACCCATAGAGAGAATAACAGAGGAGGACTAGTGGGCAAACAAGAGATAACTGTGGATGATAGTGTTATGTAATGGTAGTACAAGTCTACACCCCCGCAGAAGGCTTCTGAGGGATACCTGCAGAAGAAACTGCAGTGTGACTGTCTCGCTGTCTTCCTCTTCAGGGATTTCATATAATATTGTCATTCTGTTGCAGTAAGCACATCTGCGCGCAGTTACCCTCCCCTCTATTTTTCAACCAGCAAGGAGGAGAATCATTCAGACCAATGTGAAAGGGTGCCTCTCACTTCTGCCATACACTGCTTGTGAAGGTTAATTTGTAGGATATGTACGGTGACACGACATTTGCTCCTGCGACAATTGCTCCGGGCTTTATTTCGTCTAAGATGTAGGGTTAGGGTTAGGGTTTCAATAGGGTTTTATGTTAGGTTTAGGGTTAGGTTTAGGGTAGGGTATAGTGTTGAATCCAGGGTTGAAGTTAGCCATTCGATTAGTGTATGAAATTTACAGCAGAGCAATTGTCGCCGGAGCAAATGTCATGGAATCATATGTACTCCAGATGCCTGAGGCCTTTGTCAGCAACCCCAGTAATGGTTGGAGCAATTTTTATAACGTCTTTTTTTTACTCTGATGGATATTCGGCAAGGGATTAGGTGGGGCCTGATTTCATTTAAAAATGAAGTAATTCTTCAGGTTTAATGCTTAAATGGTACTCTGCTCGCCTCGGTTGGTACTATTTGATAGAATTAAATGTTGATGAATTTCTAAAGCAGGAATTAGAATTGGTGATATCATTCCTTAACTGTAAGATGGTGCCTGGCTGGAATACTCCTCAGGGAGTGGAAAATGTGCATACATTGTGTTTTCGGCCAAGCCTGAATCTGACAACCTGGTAATAATATATCTGTAAAGCACTTAGAGACGTCGTTGATGTATTAAGCGCTATATAAACGCAGAATATTATTATTGTTCTTATACTAAAATCCAGACCGCTATTGACTCTACTTTATATGAAAATGACTAATGCTGTCTACTACATGTAAGACAGGTATGTGAATCCAGGCCTTATCAAAATTTGTCAACATTCAGACCATTATTGAAGCTGCTACATGAAAATTGCTGCATATGACATCAGGAAAGCACTTTCTAATTTTATTCTTTTCATACTTTTATCATTTCGTTTTGTGAAAAATCTTCACCTTGTATCAGTTCATATATTCACTGAAAAATTATGTGTTTTTCTTTTCTTCTTCCTTCTTTTTCCTTCAAGTGATGAAACACATGCATGCTATACCAAAGAAACATTATAAAGTAGGTTATTCTGAGCATTGAATGTTTGGAGCAAGTTGACTGTATTTTGGTTGGTTTGTCAATAAAGCACATAACACATTGACAAGATATGCACTGTTTAGCCCCAAAGACACATTTGTTGAAATTTTGCAATGAACACTTATGAAGTTGCGAATATCGGTTGCTGTTATATTCTAACTGTTTGTTTGGGTGATTTGCTAAATATATCTTAATTCTTATTTAGTGATTTGTGACTTGGATGTAATATAAATAACATTACTTTTGTATCATGAATAGTCCAAGTACCTAGTATGGTGATTCAACATTATTAAACTGTCTACTGGAATTTTGGGTGATTTTCTTAATATATCTTATTACTTATTTTGTGATTTATGACTTGGATGTAATATAAATAACATTACTTTTGTATCATGAATAGTCCAAGTACCTATGGT